GTGTAAACACAAAAAAATATATATTTTATGTGCTGGAATGTGCAGAAAATAGGTTTAAATATTAAACAAATTTCTTCCAGTCAGAGAATGTTGCAGATGATTACATTTTTGCTTGATGCATAAAGTTAAAAGATTAAAACTAATAAAACAAGTTTTAAAAAGAGACTTTTCCATTTGATTACATTTTGTATGATGGATAATGTAAAAAAAGTAGAATTGGGCTGAAAGATCTATCGCTTTATCACCTATTCAGGTTGTAAATCGTGTTTTTAAAAAGTAACTAAGTAATTAATTACTTTTGAAAATATGTAATCAGTAAAGTAACGGGATTACTTTTTTTTGGGAAGTAATCAGTAATTAGTTACTGATTACTTTTTTCAAGTAACTACAGTATTTACAGTGGTTTGACCAGGTGAATATATATATAAAGTGTTCGGGAGAGGGGGTCCGGGGCTCCAGGGTCCATTCTCTCAACAACAATCTCTCTCCTTTTCCTCCGATGTTCTTCTCACTAATTCCTCAGAGATACAGGGATGGGTCCAGGAAGAATCTACACACACAAACAAAGGAAAATCCGATTAGTTCAAGATCGCAAGAAAACTCAGACTGATCACAGGAGAACTAACGCTGGTGGCTCAACGTTCCAGCGAGGAATAGCGTAGGTCTGCCATCTTAAGAAGCCCTTCTGATTGTAGAATTCAGCGACGGGTGTGATGATGAGCACAGGTGCGTGGGCCAGGGACGGGAGCCCGCAGTGAGCACTGCCGCGGAAGGGGGAGAGGGAGAGGGAGAGAGAGAGAACAAAAACATATTGCCTAACACGGAGTCAGCCGGTGAGGCACTGGGACCGTGACATATACACAGTGTTGGGAAGGTTACTTTTAAAATGTATTCCATTACAGAATACAGAATACATGCCCCAAAATGTATTCTGTAATGTATTCTGTAACGTATTCCGTTACGTTACTCAATGACAGTAACGTATTCTGAATACTTTGGATTACTTAATATATTATCATGCTTTTTACAACAACGTGAATATACTATTGCCGTGTGATTTATTACTATTACTGAAGGTCCGCGACTCCGAACTGTAGTAAAGGGACCTCTGACTAATACGGCGGGGTCCCTGTCGGCTCGTAGCCGAAAAATAGCTTTACTTTGTTGTGTGGGTCAACTTTTCTTGCGAGAGACAGAGAGAGGCGTTGAAAGACTGCTCCAACAGAGCTTATTGTTTCGGAGGAAAACACGAACACGGTGTACAGTCGAGTCTTAGCTTACTTATAACTGGGCTCGTCAGGCACTCTTCTTGGCTGAAGTGGTTATTATTATATTTACATGCTTCCAGCTGCCGTTTTTCCTCGATGACTGCTCGTACCTTTCCACTCCCCTTTTTCTCCCTCCTTGCGCTCACAGACCCATAACGTGTATGGCAGTCCATTCTCCCTGCAACACGGACTACACTGCCCATGATGCTACATTCTTTAGAGCTATGCTTGTAGCATTCTGCCTGTTAGCTTAGCACAACAACAACAACAACGAAAAGGCGCTCTCTCACCCAGGAAACACACAGTCGCAGAGAGAGAGAGCGTCGCCCTGTAACCATGGCAACCGTAACGCTGCCGCCTGGAACAAAAGACCGTAGCTGTCAAACAAAACCCAAACAGTCCTGACCCGCGACAAAATGAAACAGGAAAGTACCGCAGTGTAATCCATTTATTTCAACAAAGTAACTGTATTCTGAATACCACCTTTTTAAACGGTAACTGTAACGGAATACAGTTACTCATATTTTGTATTTTAAATACGTAACGGCGGTACATGTATTCCGTTACTCCCCAACACTGCATATACAAGTGATTAATTGTTCTAATTTCTGCATGTGTTGAACTAATAATTTCTTTTTTTCTCCTCCCTTAATTTTTATTCGTTCATCAAGTTGATTCAACATAAGTTTTGTCATCTATTTTAACACAAATGTAATTGTTAGTGTCAGAATTGTTTAATTATTCAAAGGTATTATGAGTACTTTAGGCACTTTAAGTATATTTTCGTACTAGTGCTTAAGGGAAATACTATTACTTTGATCAAATGCTACTACTCTAAACTTGTAAATACCTGCTGTACTGTATGCTGACTTAAGTCAGTGATACATTTTGTAAATTGCTCAACTTTAATGAATTCCACCCAAAATATTAATTCTAAGTGGGGCGACCATGGCTCAGGGGGTTGGGAAGCACATCAGTAACCGGAAGGTTGCCGGATCGATCCCCAGGCTCTCTGTCCTGGTCGTTGTGTCCTTGGGCAAGACACTTTACCCTCCCAGAGGGGCCGATGGCAGCCTCGCTTCTGTCAGTCTGCCCCAGGGCAGCTGTGGCTACAACTGTAGCTTGCCTCCACCAGTGTGTGAATGTGAGAGTGAATGAATAATGGCATTGTAAAGTGCTTTGGGTGCCTTGAAAAGCGCTATATAAATCTAATCCATTATTATTAAACATTTTTGAAAGCATTAAGGAAAAACACAAAGCATAATTCAGTAACCAAGCATTTGTACTTGAACTGGAAAGGGGCAAGAAATCAGAACACAGCTGTAACTTTAAATTATAATCTCATCTGGGTGATACAAAAAACACTGTTTTGATAGAGTTGCAGTTCAGAATTTTTTCAATAATATCAGTATGGAAACAAAACATTTTCATAGATTGCAAGTAAAAACAGGGTACTATTCAAACTAAGAGAGGAATGATATCAGGTAGTTGTATTGTATCAGGTAGTAGTATTTTTTAGAGAATAAAAAGCTTGCCCCTTTTAACACTTCTAATTGTTCTGCCCCCTTTCTTCAGTGTCTTGGTGAAGTTAAAGCCTGGAAGTCAAATAATCTACCCCTGCACATCAGACAAGCTCCTACTGTCAATCTTTTTTAATCTTATCTTAAAACACATTTGTATTCACAGGCTTTTAATACAGTATGAGAGTTATTTGGTATTTGATGTTTGGTACTAATATTATAAGTTATTTAACTAGTTATTCTGTAGTTTTGTACAACACTTTGATCAACATTGCTGTTGTAATTAAATGTGCTACATAAATAAATAAATGATAAACAAAAGGACTATCCCGTCCTAAAGGCTTGACATCTGAGAACATTCTTAACTTGTCATTATTGCTAATAATAATAGTCTAATAGTCACAGTTGATAGATCACAGGACTGATAACCTTTTCCTTATGTACCCAGAAAACAACATCACTGATCTTCGTCAGCTAATTCCTGATCAGGTGGAGAAAATTGGCATAGAGTAAGTTTGTCCATGTTAAAAGAAGTTGCATTGTTTACGCGGTTAATTTAGTATGTTTCTGCTATGCTTTCTTATGTTTTTTAATGTACTCTTTAGGGATAGTATCCATCTTCCAATCTACAACACTATGGAAAATCAACGTGAAACCAAAGAAAGCAAGGTGATTTAACATGACTCTCGATCTTCATCTTACAATAACTGATAAATTGATGAAACCCATTTTTCTAATTTGATACAGTATCAAAGGACAAGGATAAAATATCCTTTAGATTTCCTCATGGGAAAATACATTCTTTTATTTAAAACATTTATTTTAAATGAAAGAATTTTATTTAAACAAGTTGCCATTGCCACAGTAGAAGGCATGATCCTACAAGAACATTAGCCTAGCATCAGCCTCAATGCTTACTTGCCACTGTTTAAAAAACACTGAATTAAATATAAAAAGACTGAGACCTGCTACCTGTTCGTGGGTAAGAGTTGGAAATAGTCTAATTCCTTTTTGTCTTGTTGTAATGTTATGCCCTGTTCTTTTTATTCACTAAGGTGTTTAATGATCCCATCCATGGCCACATCGAGTTACATCCACTTCTTGTCAAAATCATAGACACCCCTCAATTCCAGAGACTACGAAACATCAAGCAACTTGGGGGGATTTATTTTGTTTATCCAGGAGCATCTCACAATCGCTTTGAACACTCGATTGGGTATGTCCACTGGTTTTCACACATTTACACCTAATTATAATAAAAATCCAAAACAAGGGACAGACTGCTTTATCAACTTTATATACTTGACATCAGATTTTTTTTACTCTTTTTAGCAGTGTAGTACTGTACCAACTGAAAACAATTAAGCCAACGTTCTAAAAAGTGTGTGTCCTACATTTTACTGTAAAGGGTGGCACATTTAGCAGGTGAGCTTGCAAAAGCTCTGAAGGTGAAGCAGTTGGAGCAGATCAAGCCACTGGAGGAGTTGAAGGAGTTGAAGGAGTTGAAGAAGTTGAAGCCTTTGGAGTTGGAACAGTTGAAGAAATTGCAGAACTTGACGCCTCAGGATTTGAAGGAGCTGCAGGAGTTGATGCCTGAGGATTTGGAGAAGTTGAAGAAATTGCAGAATTCGAAGCCTGAGGATTTGGAGAAGTTGAAGGCTGAGGAGTTGGAGGATTTAAAGAAATTGGTAGAGTTGGAGAACCTTGGTTTTACGAAGTTGGAGAAGTTGAAGAAATTGCAGAACTCCAAGTCTGAGGGTTTGGAGAAGTTGAATCCTGAGGATTTGAAGATGTTGCAAAGGTTTAAGCCTAAGGATGTGGAGAAGTTTGAGAAGTTGGAGAGGTTAGATGAGTTGAAGAAATCACTCATCAGTGACCAAGATGTTCTCTGTGTGCAGATTGCCGGTCTTTGTCATGACCTAGGTAAGTAATACACATACTTTTTATAGCATAAGTATTATGTTGCAGATAGTCATCATAGGGTGTTATTAAACATGAAAGTCAAATGAAACCATTCCCATGTCAAGTACTATGTTGACTTTGACCACTGATGTGGCTAGGACTAACAAAGTCTTAAATGAAAGCAGAAAATAAAATCCATGTATTTAACAGGATCAACATTTAAGAAGTTATCACAAATCACCCTGTTGTTCATATCATATGTTTATTTTGTCATATAAAGGACATGGGCCCTTTTCTCATTTTTTTGATGGGATGTTTATGGATGCAATCAAAAGAGACAAAAAGGCAAAGCAGACAAAGAAGTCACAGACAATGAAAAATGGACGGTAAGAGTTTGAAATAATAGTTGGAACATATATACAAATTTAAATAATTAAATTAAAAAGCGATCTGAGCTTTAGAGGCAACTGGTTTTAAACTTTGAAGAACTATGTTTCCCGGTGCTATGGTTCTTAGTTTCTGTAATATTTTGGAATTTTGATCCCTTCGTTAATATAATCATGTCTGAGTTTCTATTTACCTTTTTCCTGCTTTTCAGTGTTTACGGCTAAGATTTTTTTTTGTTTCATTATAATTAGATTTGTGTTTGTTACCTTTATTATTCTAGTATGTTGATAATCTTTTGGTATTTTTCCATTATTATGGCGAGTGTCCATTTTATCTCAACTTTGTTATTCCTGCCTCTCTGGTGTTCTTTTTGTGTCTTGTTTTGGTGTGTCTTTTCTCTGTGTTATTTCTTGTTTTATTATAATAGTTAAATTGATAGGTAATAGTGTCTCTTCTGCCTTGCTTTGAGTTTTACTTCCCCTGCGATTGTCTTGATTGTCTGCACCTTTATTTTGTTTCTCCTAGCTGTCTATCTTCCTTAATCACCCTCTGTCTATAAATTAAGAGAGGATGCAGGGTCATCTGATCAAACGCTAACTATATGCTCTATAGTTAGGGCTGGTTTAGGTGACCCTGCATCTGCTGCAATAAAGCTAGGCTGCTGGGGCTTCTCATGAATGAAGAATATATCTTCTTCACTGAACTTTTTTCACTCACTATGTGTTAATACACCAATCTGCATTTAATCATTACTATTAATGGTTCTTGCTCTCTTTTGCCCTCTCTTCCTCCCTCACCCCAAAACTGGTTGTAGCAGATGGCTGCCTATCCCTGAGCCTCGTTCTGCCAGCGATTTCTTCCTGTCAACCCCTTAAAACCTTAAATATGATATATGATATATGATATGATATTTCCAGAAAATTCAATTTATTTTTTTTAAATGGAGAGTTTATTGATACATTTGACAATTTTTAAAAAAATATATTAAGTACATTTCAATTTTTAGATGTGACTTCCATTGTATTTCCTACAACTGTCTTTTTTAAATTACTTAAAATGTGTTCTCAGAGAGAAAAAAAAAATCACACCGACGATGGTAGAAGGCTCAAAAACTCAAAAAACTGTTTCTATCAAATATGACACACTAGGCATAAAGAAAAAGCCTCCCCCCCACCCCCCCTCCTACTGTCACCAAGCGCTTGCTCATAGGGGGACATGTGGTTGATGGGGTTTTCTCTATATTATTGTAGTATTTTTACCTTACAATATAAAGCACTTTGAGGTGACTCTTGTGGTTTGATGCCAAACAAAACTGAATTGATCATAATTTATGGAAGACATGGTTTTATTTGGTGTCTAGTCTGTATTTGAGTCAAATCCTGAACTGAAAAATAAAATCAGAGTACCTACTCTCACTCTCAGGGTATCTCAGACACCTTTGTCTGGGCCCTGTGGTGTAAGGATGCTCTTAAGGGTGCAGGGTGGTTGTTGTTCGGTTTAACTCAAATCAAATCTTTTCTTATCACTGACCAGTTAATGGAAATTACTAGAATTTATATTGTGGCATTTCTGGTCCAACTGACTACTCAAAAAAATTGACATTATAAGCTGTTATTCTATTCACTGCAAAAACTCAAGCAGGCCCAACGAGAAATCCATACAGAGTAAATATATGTCAAATGTAAAATTATAGCTACACTGTAAACCCAAAGAACTTTGCAGAATGTAAAAAAATTGAGGCTACTGTTTGCCTCAATCACATGTATGACTGCTAAATTTAAAAACTTTTCTTAAAACATTTCTTCAGTTCAACAGTATTTTCTTAGCCATGACCAATAACACACTGCAATGCCAAAATTTTAAAAATACTAAAATAAATCATTTTAAAAAGAACATAAGATGCTAAAGACATGATGTGCAGTTTTGAAAACCCCAACACTGAGCCCAACAAAGAGGAGAAATACCTCCAACATTCACAAACATTTGACCACGCAGCATGTAATTAATTTGCATGAATGTAATGTCTTTGGTATGCTGCTTAGAGATGCTGGTGACAATGAGCAAATGAGAATTGAGAATCAAGAAGGAATCGAATCAATAAGTGATACTGATAATGGAATCGGAATCGCTAAATTCTTATCAATTCTGAACCCTATGTACCACTGTCCTTCTTGTAGTCCAGTTATTGCAACAAAAAATTAAATAAAACAGCAAAAAATAAAACAAGATACTGTGGTCTGATACAATCACCCAGACTCTTGAGTTTCTTAAGTTCGGAAAAAAGTTACCAGCATTAAGACTACCGTACTCTGAATTAATACAGTGTCATTCAGTCCCTTGGTAATAATTGTAGTAGTAGGTTTAGTGCATAGGTCACTTAAAACATTACCAACAAGGTCATCAGCAACAGTTCTTGGGAGATCTTGTTTGTTTTTTAGTTACAACTCTGTATTTTTGTAGTTGTTTTGAGTGCAAACTACTTATGGGTAGATAAAAACAGATGATCTGTGTTCTAGACAGTAATCGCTTCAGAGGCCACTGAACCCGAGTGACAAATGGAAGCAAGGTTGAGATGGTTTGGAAATGTGGAGAGAAGGAATAGTAGATATAGTGGACAAAGGATGATGAAGATTAAGCAGTAAGACATGAGAAAAGCAAGAGGAAAGCAAAAAAAAAAAAAAAAAAAGTGTTCTAATGCTAGAATTCAAAATTTCAGTTTGAGTGCGGGTGTCCCCAACTTTATAAACAGTACACTTGCATAATGACTGAAACTAGCCCACTGATGAACAATGGCCATTAATATGCAAATTGTCATTAATGCTGATCAACCAACAACCACTCTTGTCTTAACAAAGGAATAGAGTAACATATATGTTAAATGTACTTTAGATACTAAATCTATGCACTAACTTCAAAATTTAGTATGATTGTCTTGTCCACAATAATAGAGGGATATGAGGGGATATGATGTCTGAAAGGGATCACTTGGTAAAGTTATTTTATTTTATGAAGGGCTCTTTTGTTTGCTTGTTTTTGGCTTTTTCATTTTGTATTGCTTTTAATTCAGATATTGTACATTGACTTTGTAAAGCAAATTGATGCTGTTTTTTTAACGTGCAATAAAAATAAGGTTTGCATGCTTGCTTTTTTTTCCATTTTAACCTGTCGCCACTAAAGCATCCACCTGTGTATTCTTTCAGCATGAGAAGGCCTCTATTGAAATGTTTAAACACCTACTGGATCAAAATGGCTTAAAAGAAGTGATGAAGAAATATGGACTGAAAGTAGATGAAGATGGAACTGACCTGGTGTTTATTGAAGAAATGATTGAGAAACCTCAGGATAAAAAACCTCAGAATGATGCAGCTCAGGATAATGAACATCAGAACAATGATGCTTCCAAGGAGGTACTGGTCAGTTGGGTGAATTAAGTATTGTCTTTCCTACAGAAGTCAGTGTCTAATGTCTTGATGCATGCTCAATCATTCAGCCAAGAAAATCCCAAAAAGTTGATTCTGCTCATCTGGGCATAGCGTTTTCAGTGGGAGGAACGTTTCATCACTCATTCAAGTGACTTCTTCAGTCTTAGTGTCTAATGTTTGTCTTTTGGCTTTGTCTCCACAGTGGCCATATAAAGGTCGAGAAGAGAAAAAATCCTTTCTCTATGAAATTGTGTCAAACAAGAAAACCGGGATTGATGTTGACAAGTTTGACTACTTAGCCAGGTAAATCTTGCTTTACAAAAGAAATATTCATATTTTGATGCAATGCGCAAAACTACTTTGTCCTGTTTTCTGCTTTCAACTCGTTAGTTTTATGATTTACTATTTGTAGCACACTTCGTGGTTCTTTGAAGAGTTTACCATAAGTTGATGAGGGTTTTTTTTTTTTAAGGTTTTGTTAACATTTATTTTCTTTTTTATTTGCATATTTCCTCTCTCCCATCTCAGGGATTGCCACCACCTGGGCATTCCGAACAGCTTTGACCATCAGCGCTTCGTCATGTTTGCCAGGGTGTGTGATGTGAATGGGAGGAAGCACATTTGCTCTAGAGACAAGGTATTGACTTTTGCTTTTTTAACATTTATTTTTAAGGAACAATTAATCTGAGTAGCTATAACTAAACTATGGCTGTCAACAGGAATCTGCAAACCTGTATGACATATTCCAGCAAAGGCTCTCGATCCACAGAAGAGCCTGCCAGCACAAGATAAAAATGGCAGTAGAAATTATGTGAGTACCTAGAGTTCCATTTTCAATACTACACAACATTTAGCTTGTCTGAAGTTGTGCCCCTGAAGTCATATGTTGCGTCATTTTATCTAGGCTCAAAGATGCCCTCATACTAGTAGATGACCATCCAGACTTCAAAATTAAAAGTTCAAAAGGGGAGATGCTTCATATCTCCCGGGCAAATGGTGACATGGAGGCATACACAAAGCTGACAGGTAGTGGCTTCAATCTGTGTTGTGTATAAGTTATAAATTGTTTATCCATACACTTTTTTTATTGTAACTGTATTTATTTTTCTCATTCAGTTTATTTCAGATAAACCATCTCCAAATACAAATTGTAAAAGATTACGGACAACACTCAAATAGGACTGTTTCTTTTGACTGACACTTTTAAATTAATTTAACTGTATATTGATTTAAACTACTGTTGTCTGCAGATGGGCTTTACTCTGTTACATTATATTTAGTAATGTTTGCTATAATAATTCAGCTGGGTTTTTTGTGATATAAATTCGTATAAATAACTTTATAAGGCATTACTGATACATTTGTGAAACTGAACTAAATTGATCTTGTTTGAACTGACTTAACTTCCAATTTATTTCTGTGTTTACTCTGAAGATCATGTGTTTGAAAGAATACTCCATTACCAGGAAGGAAGGAAGGAACCTTCCTCCGAGGAAGAAAGGAAAAAAGAACAAGATTTGGAGGAGATAAGAGAGATTCTACAGAGGGTCGTGGAAGGAAGGAAGGAACCTTCCTCTGAGGAAGAAAGGAAAAAAGAACAAGATTTGGAGGAGATAAGAGAGATTCTACAGAGGGTCGTGGAAGGAAGGAAGGAACCTTCCTCTGAGGAAGAAAGGAAAAAAGAACAAGATTTGGAGCAGGCAATGGAGATTCTACAGAGGGTCGTGGAAGGAAGGAAGGAACCTTCCTCCGAGGAAGAAAGGAAAAAGAACAAGATTTGGAGCAGGCAAGAGAGATTCTAAAGAGGGTCATGAAACGGGACCTGTACCGCTGTGTGGGTCAAGCAAAGGTATGCAGTTATGTTTTTATGTGCCTGTATTAAAAGCCCAGTATTCACACTGAATGGGATGCATGGATGGAGGAAGGGAGGGAGGGAAACTCAGAACCTGAACTTACAAAGCATACAATACTACTTTCCAAGAGTCGTTTTCATGTAAGTACTAAAACACCAAGCTGTACATTTATAGATATATATTTTCTGAAGAATGTTTTGGAACAGCTCAAATGTGGTGGGTGTGAAAACTCCTGTGTGAAATAGAGAAATTGAGAAAAACATTATCTTTAAATATGTGGTTTCATGTGATTCCAAGACTCATTTTCTATGTATCCTCTAAAACACCAAGCTGTAAATCAATATTTATTGTAAAAAAAATCCTTTTTAAAACAGAGAAATTAAGAAAAACATTATCTTTAAATATTTGGTTCAATGTGATTGTGTTTTCTGTGCTAAATAAATCTTTTCTTCTCCCTCCCACTTGCCCCCTTTCTCAGGACAAGAAAAAAGAAAAAAAAAAGGAAACACTTGAGGTAAGAATGAGAACAGCTCAAGAAGACTAAACAAGATTAAGAAAACAATAATAATAACACACACTGTTGTCTTCTCCACCTTCAGAGAATTAAGAAGGATTTGGAAGATAAACTGAGTAAATGCTCTCCTGATGACAAGTTTGAAGTTATTGTGAGTTTTATTAATTCATCAAACTTTTCTTAAAATCTTGTTGTTGCTTTTGTTCATTTTATTTAAAATATGTTTTAAACCTCCACTGGGTCATTATTTACATATTATGAATACAGGCTTCTCTGCAACATTTCATTTTAGGATGTCACTTTGGACTATGGGATGGAAAATGTTGACCCCATCAGTAAAGCATATTTCTATCGCAAGGATAACCCTGATAAAGGAGAACCAATCCCCAAATCAGATGTGAGAACTACAGCCTTGATTTCCATATGCTGTTTTCTTTTTAATGCAGCTCAATAAAACAACGTTGACTGTGTAATATGTAATTTTTATGCTGCTGTCCCTGATGTCAGGTGTTCAGTGTCCTCCCAGACTGGTTTTCTGACGAGATGCTTAGGGTTTACTGGAAGAATCCTAAGGAACTAACAGATGAACAAATAAAAACAAAAGAGGAAAAATTCAAGAAAGTCTTCAATGACTGGTGCAAGAAGAATGGTTATAAGGTATTACTTTATCTATAGGTATTACTACATAATAAGCAAACTGATGCAAGTGTAAGCACGAGTTGAGATTGCATTTCATGACTCTTGGTGTGACTAATAAGCTTTATTTATAAACACAGGATCTAAACAAGGAAGTCCCCAGCGCTGGTCAAGCAACTCCAGGAAATGAATGAATGAATGAATGAATGAATATGTCAAAGATTCAGTTATCAATTTTTTTTGTGCAACAGTAGAGATTTTAATATAGGTGTTTTGAATGAGAAAAAAATAATGTTGTTTGATTTTTTTTTCATTGTTTGATTTAAATCTTAACTATATGATTTAGACTAGATGTGAAATTTTATCAAAATATTACATATTGAATGATTTTTTTTGTGATTTGGACTAACTGATACTACTTCCTTTAACATGTATCAATATGAAATAAGCTCTTGATAATCTCAAATAAAAAATTTATTGTAATGTTTTGACTACATATTGCATGTTTTCACTAGAATCAAACTAAATAGATCACCTCGTTTCAATACATGCAGTTTTGGGTACTGTTGTGATTTGGTCATTATCTGAAAATTCATTATTTATCATATCGTCTATCAATGAAAATCTATAAAAGTTAGAATCTTTCAGCTGTTTTCCTGTTCTGATTCGTTTGCTGCTGATTTCTGGTAAATTCCAAATAAAGCTAATTTTCTCTTATGTTTTGTGTCACTGTGAAGTTACAGCTCTTACAACATAACATTTAACACACTGTCTGTCCTTTGGGTGCTGCCTGAAAAAGGTAACCAGAATGCCAAGGTGGCTGGAGCTGAGGTGGTAGAGCAGATCACCTACTAATCGGAATGCTTTTTTATCTTGCTGCTACCCCCCCAAAAAAACCCATCTCCATAGAGACTCTGTCAGCTCCCAAAAAGACAAAAAACAAACTAAAAACCAGCAACAAACAACTTAAACATAAACAGTCACAAAGAAAGAACAATACAGTATCCACATCTGAACCAAAGAGTAAAACAGTGAAATGTGGATTATTAAATATTAGGTCTCTCTCCTCCAAGTCTCTGTTAGTACATGACTTAATAATTGATCAACAAATCGATTTACTCTGCCTTACAGAAACCTGGTTGCAGCAGGATGATTATGTCAGTTGAAATGAATCAACACCCCCCGAGTCATTCTAACTACCAGAAACCTCGAAGCACAGGCCGAGGGGGCAGTGTGGCAGCAATTTTTCACACCAGCCTATTTATTAATGAAAGACCAAGACAGACTTTTAATTCATTTGAAAGCCTGATGCTTAACATTGTCCACCCCAGCTGTGAAACTCAGAAACCAGTCTTACTTGTTATCATCTATCGTCCACCTGGGCCTTACACAGAGTTTCTGTCTGATTTCTCAGACTTTATATCTGATTTAGTCCTGAGCTCAGATAAAATAATTATTGTGGGTGATTTTAACATCCATGTAGATGCTAAAAATGACAGCCTCAACATGGCATTTAATCTTTTATTAGACTCAATTGGTTTCTCTCAAAATGTAAAAGAACCCACCCACCACTTTAATCACACTCTAGATCTTGTTTTTAACATATGGCATAGAAACTGAACATTTAACAGTGTTTCCTGAAAACCCTCTCCTGTCTGATCATTTCCTGATAACATTTACATTTACAATAATTGATTACACAGCGGTGGAGAGTAGACTTTATCAAAGTAGATGTCTTTCTGAAAGTGCTGTAACTAAGTTTAAGAATATAATCCACCCACTGTTATCATCTTCAATGCCCTGTACCAACACAGAGCAGAGCAGCTATCTGAACGCTACCCCAACAGAGGTCGATTATCTTGTTAATAATTTCACCTCCTCACTACGTACGACTCTGGATACTGTAGCTCCTGTGAAAACTAAGGTCTCTAATCAGAAGTACCTGACTCCGTGGTATAATTCTCAAACACGTACCCTAAAGCAGATGACTCGTAATCTGGAGAGGAAATGGCGTGTCACAAATTTAGAGGATCATCATTTAGCCTGGATAAATAGTTTGCTGCTGTATAAGAAAGCCCTCCGCAAGGCCAGAAAATCTTACTATTCATCACTGATTGAAGAAAATAAGAACAACCCCAGGTTTCTCTAAAGCACTGTAGCCAGGCTGACAAAAAGTCAGAGCTCTTTTGAGCCAACAATCCCTTTAACGTTAACTAGTAATGACTTCATGAACTTCTTCACAAATAAAATTTTTATCATTAGAGAAAAAATTACCAATAATCATCCCACAGATGTAATATTATCTACAGTTACTCTTAGTACCATTGATGTTAAGTTAGACTCTTTTTCTCCAATTGATCTTTCTGAGTTAACTTCAATAATTACTTCCTCCAAACCATCAACGTATCTATTAGACCCCATTCCTACAAAAAGAAGTCCTGCCATTAATTAATTCTTCGATCTTAAATATGATCAACCTATCTCTAATAATCGGCTATGTACTACAGGCCTTCAAGCTGGCTGTAGTTAAACCTTTACTCAAAAAGCATCTCTAGACCCAGCAGTCTTAGTTAATTATAGGCCAATCTCCAACCTTCCTTTCATATCAAAAATCCTTGAAAGAGTAGTTGTCAAACAGCTAACAGATCATCTGCAGAGGAATGACTTATTTGAAGAATTTCCATCAGGTTTCAGAGCTCAGCACAGCACAGAAACAGCTTTAGTGAAGGTTACAAATGATCTTCTTATGGCCTCTGACAGTGGACTCATCTCTGTGCTTGTCCTGCTAGACCTCAGTGCAGCATTCGATACTGTCGACCATAATATCCTATTAGAGCGATTAGAACATGCTGTAGGTATTACAGGTACTGTGCTGCAGTGGTTTGTATCATATCTATCTATGAGGCAACTTTTGTTGTGATATGGCGCTATATAAATAAAATTGAATTGAATAACTACTAGACTACAGAGTACTGTAAACATTTATTTGTGTAATTTAAAGTACCTCATGGGCTAACACACTGAATCAAAACATAGATTTGAGGGAAAATGTACAGCTTTCATACGCATACAATGCCACCTGAAATAACTTTTCAATAAAAGATTTTTTAACTAGCTTTAGTTTTCAGTTTTATTTGTCATATGCAAGTTAGCACAGGGTCAACATTGCAATGAAATGTGTTTGACGAGCAGCAGTCACTCAGCAGCATGGTACAGTAGAAGAAAATATAATAAAATAAAAATGATAAGAAAATAGAAAAATAGTAAAGAGCAAAATATTAGAAAGACATGGTAAAAGAGAAAAGATGACTAAATATATATGTACAGATGGGATATTGCACAGGAATGAGCAGCAGAAAATCACAGTATTGTACTTTTTAAATATAAATATCAATGACAATAAAGTGGAGTGACCAGTGCAGATTAAACAGAGTACTTGTGAAGCTGCAGGGTAGCTTCTGAGTGCTGTGTTGTGTGTGTTTAAGTGTTGTGGTTGAGGTGTCGTATGGCTTGATGGTAAAAACTGTTTTTGAGTCTTGTAGTCCAAGCAGACAGACTCCTGTAACGTCTGCCAGATGGTAACAAGGAGAACAGCTGATGTGCTGGGTGGCTGTGGTCCTTGATGATGCTGTGTGCTTTACGGAGGCATCGCTGGAGATAAATGTCCTGAATGGCAGGAAGCCTCGTGCCAGTGATGTGCTCTGCTGCCTTCACCACCCTCTGTAGTGATTTACGGCTGCTGGCAGAGCAGCTTCCGTACCAAACTGTGATGCAGCTCGTCAGCAAGCTCTCGATTGCACACCTGTAAAAATTTGAGGTGATGTTGGCATTCATGCTAAACTTCCTCAGCCTCCTCAGGAAGTAAAGCCGCTGGCGAGCTTTCCTGATAGCAGTGTCTGTGTGAAGGGTCCAGGAGAAGTCCTCAGTGATGTTGACTCCAAGGAACTTGAAGCTGCTGACCCTTTTGACCTTGACACCGTTGATGTGGATGGGCTGGTGTTCTCTGACTGGTCGTTTCCAGTAGTCCACTATCATCTCTCTAGTTTTGCTGATGTTGAGAGTCAGGTTATTTTCCAGACACCACTCGTACAGTGCCATCACCTCCTCTCTATAGGCCGTCTCATCGTTGTCTGTGATGAGGCCTATGATTGTGTCATCCGCAAACTTGATGATGATGTTGGACACGTGTTTAGCAACACAGTCGTGTGTGAACAGGGAATATAGGAGGGGGCTAAGCACAGATGCCTGTGGCATTCTTGTGTTTAGGATGAGTGATGAGGAGGTGTGCTTACCAACTCTCACCACCTGGGGCCTGTTTGTGAGGAAGTTTAGAATCCATCTGCAGATCGGTGTTCCCAGCCCAAGGTCGACGAGCTTCGTGGCAATTTTTGAGGGGATGATGGTGTTAAATGCCGAGCTGTAGTCGATGAAGAGCATCCTTGCATATGTATTCCCTTTCTCCAGGTGAGTGAGGGTGGTGTGCGTTGCCAGGGCGATGGCATCCTCTGTGGCTCTGTTTTTCCGCAAACTGAAGAGGGTCCAGTGTGTCAGGGAGGGAGGAGCAGATGTGACCTTTGACCAGCCACTCGAGGCACTTCATGATGACAGATGTCAGTGCAACAGGATGGTAGTCATTCAGACAGGAGACAACTGATTTTTTGGGAACGGGAATGATGGTGGATGCTTTGAGGGACGTGGGGACCACTGACTGCCTCAGGGAGCGGTTGAAGATGTTGGTGAACACCTCTGCCAGCTCGTCTGCACACACTCTGAGTAGCCGGCCTGGGATGCCGTCTGGTCCTGGAGCTTTGTGAGGATTTACCTTTTTAAAAGTCCATCTCACAGCTTCTGTTTTCAGAGTTAGAGTTGCAGCCTCACTGTCCTCCTGAGGGTAGAGGATCTGCTCTCTGTTGTCTGCGTCAAAACGAGCATAGAAGTTGTTGAGCTCGTCTGTAAGAGATGCAGTGGACTGAACACTGCCTGTGTTGTCCTTCTTGTAGTCAGTGATGCAGCGCAGTCCATTCCACAGTCGCCTGGTGTCAAAGCTGTGGTAGCTGGACTCCATTTTGTCCCTGTAGTCCTTTCTGGCCTTTTTTATGGACTTTCGGAGGTCGTACCTGGCTGTATATGCATCAGCATCCCCGGAGTTAAAGGCAGAGGTCCGCACTGATCTAAAACAATAAAAGGAACAGGAGGCAAATGTATACACAATTAAGTGTCAATTCCATGTGTATGTAGCAGAAATACAGCTGATCTGTAAGCCTGGACCTGCTTTTTAGCTGAGCCATATGTTTCAGTAACAGTTGAGGTCTTCCTTGAATGAAAGATAAATGTAGGGTGGTATGCACACACAAATTAACTGATCTGCTGTACAAAAACCACTAAATATCCTGCTACATATCATTTTGGAGTGCAATAAGACACCACATGCACGTCTTTGTACCAGATCTCTTGATTCTACAAATGCTGTGTGATCTGCTCTGTGAACTTTGAGCGTGACATCATAATGAAATAGCCACAACCCTGCTTCTTAAAACAATCTGACATAATGTGCTTTAAGTTATGCAAATTCTAGGAAAGCTACAGCATTTTTAAAACTAATACTCCATTACAATAGTAATACTGGAAAAACTGCTGGAAGCTGTGATCATATTCCTGTCCATACCTGACATGAAAACATCCATTCTACCCTGAAAGAAAGTTGTCTTCCCTCACAA